GTCGTCGTCGTCGTTGTCGTTGTCGTCGTCGTTGTCGTCGTCGTCGTCGTCGTCGTCGTCGTTTCAAGCTCGAAAAATAGCATTAATACTTACTCGTTGGCAAGCGTTACGAGATTAACCAGAACGCGTGTATTATGTATCGACGATAAATACAATTAGAAATAACATATCGAGAAAATCGATTCGAACTTTGAAAATACGAAAAAGAGAAAACAAAATATATAAGTGTCAATTAATCCTCTGTTTAATTTACCGTTCATTCCTTTTGTCTTTTTTTTTTTATTATTATTATTTATTTATTCTTTTTTTTTTTATTTTTTTTTTTTATTTTTTTTTTATTTATTTCCTTTAACACCATAAACGGCATTGTACGGTTTATTAAATGAAATTTATCTCCTAATTAATATGTAATCGTTCGAAAACTTTATAACGATTTTCAACATTAATTATTCGAATATTTCAATATCTCTAATAACAATGATAATGATGATAATAATAATAATAATGATGATGATGATGATGATGATGATGATGATGATGATGATGATGATGATGATGATAATAATAATAAAGGTAAATAAAATTAAAGATGTAGGTATTATAGAAAACTATATAGTCAAATAAATTCTCATGTAAAAATCATCGAGAACATTTTCAAGTACTTTGAAACGTCAAACGATTAATATTTACAAGTTTTTACGAAGAGAGCAACGAACTTGCAACTTCCTTCTTCTTCTCTCTCTCTCTCTCTCTCTCTCTCTCTCTCTCTCTCTCTCTCTCTCTCTCTCTCTCTCTCTCTCTTGTCTTCTCCTCCTTCTTTTTTTCGTAACAAACGCTAAGAGAAAAAAGACGAAAAGTAAGATCAAGCTCGAAAGGATAGATTGTCCGGTGTAAATACGAGAAGCCTTTCTAATTCCAAAGACGCGCTGACGGACCCACCGCTATCTCCTTCGAGAAGTCCTTGGTAAGATGGTACGAGTGGTGGGGCATCGTCCTTGACACCTACCGTAACTTTTGTCGGACGGCTGCGTCTCGAGAATTCTTTCTTACCGCCCCACCCCTTGATGATCTCCAACCCTTTCGATTTATTATCGATCTTTTCGGCTATATCGAAAACCTAGTAATATTTTAATAAGTTTCTTTATCGACTCGCGATCAATTTTAATGTCGAAAATAAAATGAAATAAAAAAAAAAAAAAAAAAAGGAGGGGGGAGGGGAAAAAAAGGAAAGAAAGAAAGAAAGAAAGAAATGTTTTTTCTTTATGAAAAATATTTTATATAATCTACGTAAGTATTTTACAACGGGAAAATAGATAATGGTAAAATTGAATATAATCGCAATTGATATATCTGCAATATGTACAAATACATATAACCATTGTAAATAAAGGTTTCGATCCTATATAAGTAAGATTTATAATAATATAAAGTTCTATCGATAAGATTAAAATGTGAAAGAAGAAATAGATATTTGTTAGTATATAAGGAACGTGTTAAAATGTTGTAGGATACGATAAGGTACGCACGCACATCAGAACACGAAGCTTTTCTTTGATACTCGAAATAAGAATAAACGGGATATCGCGCTGCGTAGATAGAACGCGTGTCGATGTCACACCGATCGATCTTCGTGAAAGGTGCAAACGATATTTCTTCGTGACAAAACGAACGTACGTAAGTACGTAAGTACGTACGTCCGAACGTCCGAACAAACGTATATGTTAGATCAAAGAGAAGAACATATAGGATACATACATAGATAGCCATCCAAAATCATGAAAATCCTTAAGAATCCTCTCTGTTCAATTAAATTTCACTTTGTTACATACATATGCATATAAATCATTAAATATACTTTCCTTTCTATTTTCTTCCGACACATTTAGAAATTAAAATCTTAACGTTTCTTACGTGTTAGTTAATAGAAAGAAATAGAAAATAACGTAGAGAGAAAGAGATTAAAATGAATTATTTCTTTCGATCGAACATAAAACGAACGAACGTTTCCGGATTTCTCGTTAATAATTGATCGTCCGTACATGAACTTTTGTCATTTGCAAAAAAAAAAAAAAAAAATTAATCGTCATACGAGGAAATCTCGAATGTAACTACGTAAGATGGATCGTTTTGATTCCAAGAAGAAAAAAAAATTATCTGAAACTAATTTTTCAAACTTCATTTTTATGTTTACAACGATGTTATTTTATTAAATCGTTATTTTCATTAAGCTAGAAAACACAATTGTTTTCGACGTTTAAATCACTACACGTGTGGCTTTTTTTATTTTTTTATTTTTCTACTTTTCTCGTTACAATCATAGAACGAAATCCTCTTATTTCTGTTATTTTCCTTCTCTCTATCAATAGAATTATCAGTTAACAATAACGTAAAGGAGATAGCGTGAAATCCGTCATTATTTCATTCTCGATGGATCAAGCAAGGGAAAAAAAAAACAAAAAGAAAAGAATTAAAGAAAAAAAGAAAAAAAAAGAAAGAAGAAGAAGAAGAAGAAATAAAAATCAAAATCAAAATCAAAAATATATTTCAGTATTAAATCCCTTATCAAAAAGTTTATCGTTCGACAAAAAAAAAAATATACGTAATTGATGTAATAGAAATAGAAATAGGTGATAGATGAACGATACAATACAATTTTACGTTCACGTTTACAAGAAGGTATTAATGTCGAAGGCATAATCGATCGATTATGCAATGAACATTACAAAAGGAACGTTTTCATCGTTCGCGCACGTCCACAAGGCTTCGCTAACTGACGGATTTATCGATAATTGGAATATTTAGAAGCCAAGTGGTTTAGATAGGAATAGAGGAAAGAAAGCAATACAAACAAATTCAATCCGATCAAAAATGTTAATCCGTTAATTTTTCATATTTCTTTTATATATCACACTTATACGTAACGATTTTTAACAAATTAATTATCTTTCTCCTTTCTTTCTTTCTTTCTTTCTTCTTCTTCTTCCTTTTTGTTTTCTTTTCTTTTCTTTTCTTTTCTTTTTCTTTTTTTTTTTTTTTTTTTTTTAATCATCTCTCTCTTCAAAACCAACGTTATAATGTTCCTTTAAACATTTCCGTTAAATCGTCGAAATATTTATTCATCATATACAATCGTTCATTATTAAACAAAAGAAATTTTAACATTTGAGAATATTAATGATCAATGATAAATCCATGAATCGATTATTTAATTCCTCTTAAATAGAAAATAATAGAATGTCACGAATAGAAATTCGGAATAATTCGCGAAACTTCGTGGTCGAACAAAGTTAGATAGAGAAACAATAGAAATGGTTAACTTCTACGTAACAGAATAGATATATCGACTAGAAATTCCAAATAATCCGCGAAACTTTGCAATTGGACAAAGTTTTCTAAAGAAATAAGAAAAATATTATTAATTTCTACGAATCATGTTGTGTCGTCGACATTGACCATAATATTGGCTCGTTCGAAGAAAGAAAGAAAGAAAGAAAGAAAGAAAAGAAAAAAAAAAAAAAAAAAAGAAGAAAAAAAAAGGAAAAAAGAAAGAAAGGAAGAAAGGAAGGAAGAAAGAAAAGAAAGAGGAACGTGGTTGAAAATGAAAATTCGTAAGAATAGCGTGAAATTGATTTCGCCTTAGGGAAAATTGGCCTAAACCAAAGCACGTAAAACACACGGTTGGACGTTGGAAGATCTGCGGTCTGCCAAAGGATTTAAATTTCAGTATTTAAAGTTTAAAAAACAAATCTATAAGTTTGAATGCACATGAAACTGGTCAAAGTCTTTTCGAACTTTTCAAAAGATAAACAACAACAAAAATGAGCGAATTTATTCGAACCATCGTCAAATTCACATGACATATGGATCGTTTGTAATTGCGAACAAGTGAAAATACAAACAAAAAAAGAAAAAAAAAAGAAAGAAAAAAAAGGAAGAAAGGAAAAAAAAAAAGAAGAGAAAGAAAACAATTTCAAACGAGAAAAACAAATTCGTGGGATTAATTGTTCTTACGAACTTTCTTACGTATTACGTACGATTCAATCTAAAAGATTAAAATTAATCTATCTCTTAAATATTTTGTGATAACAAAAAGAAATCTCAAGTAATTTTCTAAGAAACAAAAGACGCTTTTCGTATCGAAACGATCGATATAAATAATAATCGTATACACATACACACGCACGCACAGACACACATACATACATACATACATACATAGATATATATATATATATACATATACAATTCATTTTCGACGATAGTACTAGCACGTAGCGCACGTGCGCTTCTAAGAAGACATACACGCAAGGTTTTTTAATCTCATGTCAGCTCAAAGTAAGTACGGAGCAAAGAAATTCAACTCGAGATCCGTCGGAAAGAGAAAGAGAAAGAGAAAGAGAAAGAGAGAGAGAGAGAGAGAGAGAGAGAGAGAGAGAGAGAGATATTCGAATTTCCTTTTATGTCCGTTATTCTCGTTCAAAGTTTAAAATGAAAATAATTCCATTTTTCTTTATTATTCTTGTCCGTCGGACGAAAGCGAGATCACGAGTTTGATCGGTATTACGATATAATAGTGAAAAAGAAAATATCAGGATCGTAGAAATACGAGAAGAAGTGAACCCGATAAGATCTAATTCGAATATTCTTATAAAGAAGAAAAAAAAAAAAGAAAAGAAAAGAAAACTGTAGTTAATTAAAGAATAGAAGAAATTTACATGTATACCTGAGAGATTTTGATTATTTTTCTTTTAAATAAAATCGAAAGAAAGACAAAATTATCGTTGAAATTGTTATCGTTAATCAATGTGAGAAAATGGAATATTTTTGATTAAAATTAAGAATTAAGATATTTGATAGAAACGTTAAATAAATGAGCCGGATTATGCTCAGACGAGATTTTCACGATTAAAAACGCGAATATACGCTTTATATATATATATATATGTATATGAAATTCTTCTATTACAAATAAATTAATTTAATCTGTAAAGTACAATTAC